TCCTCTAAACGATTTTGAAATGGTTGAGATGATCAATGCTTTCCAAATTAGACTTTGTTATTTTCATAAAAGTTGTAATCTTATATATTAGTTTTCCAATGACTTTGCAATCACCTAAAAAAGATGGTTTAAAACTTAAGTTATAACATTTTTAGTGAGCAAATGTCAAATTGTTAACATTTAGTAACAATTTTTATAATTTTTAATATTATAAATAATGGAATTATAACTTGAGGTCCTCGTAAGAATTATAGATAATTTTTTTGTCCTTTAATTTTTTTGGGATTAATTTATTTTTTTTATTAGGTAATGTTGCTCCATAGAGTGAGACAATTTTCTTTAATAGTTTCATTATCCTTAATTGAGGACTAGTTTTATTTATTTTTTATAAGGTAATGCTCTCTGATAAAAGGGGACTTTTTTTATTAGTTTCGTATTTTCAATTTGGGAATTGTTTTTTTTAATAAATTTATTAGGTGACCCTATTAGGTATAACTAGACTTTTTACATTTATAAAAGAAAAAAAATTGAACATTTGGTGCCATGCCTAGCAACCTAATCAGTAGAATCTTTGTAGGCAGGTTCTGAGGGCAGAGGTTGTTTGCAAATGCAGTGCGTGCTTTAGTTGCCCCTGGCACTTGTAACCTTTGCAAGTTGCAACTCGTACAATTGAATGTTAGGTGGCCCTACAAATTAAGAGACAACAGAATTTTAAGAGGCCAGAGCTGACTTGCTACTCCAAATTAGAATTTCGTCAAACATTCATTAATTCAGAGACGTAAACACGTCAAATCAGAGCACACCTTATGATTCACATTTAATCAAAGCTAATAAAACCACTAAGAAAAAGAAGTCGTGGCTGCTTTCTGTTGACTTTAACTACACGAATATGGTACTTTATCCGACTAAGACTTTACGTATTTGACAGTCCCCAAAAGAGAGACTCTATTATTATTACTATTTTATTTCAAGTCCCGCTGTCCCCAATAGTTGCATCTCTGTATTTGCCATGAGTTTTGTAGTGGAAGAAGACTGAAGAGGTAGATGCAGAACAAAGGGCCAAAAAAGAAGTTGACTTTTCGTTTTGAGTGTTGTTATCAATTATGAATAAAAAAAGTTAGTGACTTTACGATTTCACTTTTTTTTAAAAAAAGGTGAAATTAGAAAATCCTTTTCTTTTTAGCATTTTAAATTAAAAGAAAATTATAATAATAGTTATTATAGTAATAAATATTATTTCTAATTCTATCGTGATTAGTAAATTGATATTATTTAACTAATGTATGAGAAGTAAAAATTTGAATTTATGAATAAAATATGTATTTGTAGTTAAAGATTTGTCTTTAAAAATTTAAATGAGTATATATTTGATCAGGATGAGATATTTTTGTATTATTGAGATAGTTAAAACTTATTTATCCTATTAATCATCACAAATCTATAATTAAAATCTCTTCATAAAATAAAATTAAAATTTGCAAATGAATAAAAAATACAAACTAATAATATTTTAAAAAAATGATGTGTTGTATATACACATTTGTTTATGGCTATAAAATTATTTTTTATTATATAACTTATATAATATATGTTCCCACTATTTTTTTTTTTGTTTTTTAACATATTTTATTTTAAAAAGTTAATAGATGGTCGACCTTTTTATCACACTCTTTTATATCATTTTTTTTTAAATTGCAATGAACTATAGACATCAAAACAATAATGTTACTTTTAAGGAATAAGGTTCTCTTGTGCACTGAGGGGGTTACCACTTATATACACATGTTTCTACATTAGTGAAATATTATCTGCTTTGGACCCAAGCCCTCACGGTTTTGCTTTTAGACATCACCCAAAAGGCCTCTCAACCAATGGAGACAAGTGTGTGTATATAAACTCATGTCCATCCTCTTGTTTGAACGATGTGGGACTTTGCTTGCATCCCAACAATCCTCCCCTGCAGTGGAAACTACAAGTATTATCCGATTGTGGCCCCACAGAGCTCACTCACTCTCAGAGTGCTTGCACTGCCGCTTCATCATGATCCACCATTAGGAAGACTTTCGATACAAGGGATCCCAAACTTGGATCCACCTGTCACTCATCATACTCATCGAGCTAGTTACCTGATCGGACCATCGGCTCTGATACCACTTGTTGTGCACCGAGGGGGTTACCACACATATACATATGTCTCCACATTGGTGAGATATTGTCCGCTTTGGCCCTCACGGTTTTTCTTTTGGACATCACTCAAAAGGCCTCTTGACCAATGGAGACAAGTGTGTATAAACTAATGTTCATCATTTTATTTGAACGATGTGAGACTTTGTTTGCATCCCAACAGGTTCCTTAGTAACATCACTACTAAATCAAACAATGTCAATCATTCTTAATGGTCGTGTGACCATCTCGTTCACTCTTTCACCAACAAATCATGTTAATCCACTATATAATATATAATATATTTACTTGTGAATAAATATAAGAAATAAGAGGGGGATTGTAAAAAAAATACTACTTTCCTTCTTTTGTAGGATAGTTATGATAAAAATGTTAATAGGAATGACATTTGATCAATGTATGTGTAATAAATAAACTTATTATTTCTTTATCTCAAATCACTTTAGTATAATAGGAGATTTAATCACTAGTGCAAAAATTGGATTTAAAATCGGAGTTTGTAACCGATTTTAAAAGTGACGCGGTGACAATTTTGTAAATAATATGAACACTTTTAAGATCGGTTATTTTATGACCGATTTTAAAAGTGCTACTTTTAAAATCGGTTATTTCAGAACCGATCTTGTATGTAGTATACAAAATCGATTCTTAAATAACCGATTTTAAAAGTATTGTCAGAAACCTTTTATATTTCCCTCCATTCTCATTCTTTTTAATCTTTCCCTCCATTCCTTTTTTTACTCTCTCGCACTCTCATTTTCTAAAGTTTTCAATAAAGTAAATTTTGTTGTCGTTTTTGTTTTCGTCTTCCCATGCTCTTCTTGTGTCTCTTTTCCTTTTCTCATGCTCTTCTTTTGTCTCTATTTTCGTTGTAGGTTCATTTTGTGTAAATTTTGAATCTGGATCGACCTGTTCTGCAAGGAGAACAGCCCGTTCTGCAAGGAGAACGACCCGTTCTGCAAGGAGAACGGGCTGTATTGATGCCCGTTCTGGATTGGTTAAACTTATGCCAAACTATGCTAGAACGACCCGTTCCACACTATCTTTTTAGGCCTTTTTAACAACCTGGAACGGCCCGTTCCAGTTTAATTTTTTTCAGAGCCAGAACTTTTAAGATCGGTTATAAAATAACCAATCTTAAAAGTTAACTTTTAAAATCAGTTACTTAACCGATTTTAAAAGTCTAACTTTTTAAAATCGGTTCTTTTAAAATTGGTTACGGAACCGATTTTAAAAATTAAAAATAACTGATTTTAAAAGTTTTTTTCCCACTAGTAAATCTAAAAGTTTCTTATAATGTTTTCTTTTAAATAATTAAATAAATAGTTATAATTCATATTTAAAAGAGGATGTTACAAATTGGACCAGCCTATGAGTCAACTTTATATATTTTCATTATTTTTATAATTGGTAAAATAATAAATATAATACTTTATACTAAAATGAAGACGTAAATCAATTGATGATGTTGTTGTAATTTAACTAGTAGTTTCGAGTTCAAGTTCTAGACATGCAATTGTGTTAAATATTTTGAAATTAAGAAAGTTTTATCGCTTAAAACGACTCAAACAATACTATTTTTGTAAAAGATACATTTAATTTATATATATATATATATATATTATGAATTCTCACTTTAAGATTAATACTTTATGTACATTGATTTATTTATTTTTAGTTATTTATCATTACAATTTACATTCTCGTTTATTTATATTATTATTTATTATTTTTTACTATTTTATAGTATAAAAAATAATCTATATTTTGAAAATCATGGTTTTGATGAATTTAAATTCATGGTTTAAAATTCCAAAGTTTTCATCATCAAGCCTTTTAACTCAAATTTATTTTCTATAGATATCATGTTTTGCACGGTGTAGGTGTTACAACTAATAGAAAATGATTTGTTGAAACTATTATATTAGCTTTATTATAATTTTTTTTTGTTCTAGAAGATTTTCTATCATTCTAATCACATTTTTATTTTTCATAGAGTTTGAATTCGACATATTAGTTCAATAATTCAAACTTAATATTAATATATTTATATTTTTTGATTTATTAAAATTATAATGACAATACTAAAGTTTAGATATAAAATTTTAGATATAATATTTCAACCTTTTATCATTAGGTTAACGGTAATAGTTCAATATTCACTTGTATTAACCTAATGTAATTAATACAAGATATTTTACTCTCAATATTTTTATACTCAAATTTAATTTATTTTCATTTTATTTATGAAAATAAAATTTGAAGAAAGAAACATTAAAAAAAGTATAATATAAAAAATATTTAATACATCATTCTTATCTAAATTTTTTTAAATAAATTCAATTAGGATTCTAAATTAAAAAAATATAATTAAATTGGATCTTTAGAGTTACCAGAACGTCACAAATTGTTATTTTTGTGGCGGTTTGAAACTGCCATAAATTAACTAGAAAAACTCAATCACAAAAAAATTAAAAAATTAGGGACTTATTAATTACAAACTTTTAAAGTGTAGTGGGGTAATTTGAAATAGCACATCTGGAATTTGAAAGACTCAATTACCAAAAACTTTTATTTATAATATTCTTTTGGTAATTTGAAATAATACAGTGGCCTATAATATTAATATTTAAGATAATTGTTGTTAAAAGGTACGTAAATTAAATTTAAAAAATAGCGATGGAAATGGTTGTTGAAGTACTAGAAAGACATATGATGGGTCCTGTGTAGTGGGGGTAGATTAAAAGTAGAATGACACCGGCCAGATCATTTGAATGAAATATTTTTGATTTTTCCATATATCACTGACCAGGTTCATGTCCTTTTATGGTTATATGTACATCGTCAAGTCTCATGAACGCATCGCGACTCTTATTTAAGTCTTAATCCATGCTCATACACTTGCACCTTTGCTGAGTTAACTTTGTTGGAAGTTGGAAACCTTCACTCACGTACTCTCTTTTAGGTTTGAGTCAGTAAATTAATTGTTTTAGGTAGCATGTGGAAGTTGAAGATAGCAGAAGGAGGAGATAGGTTAATTTCAGTGAACAACTTCATCGGACGACAACATTGGGAGTTTGATCCCAATGCCGGAACTCCAGAGGAACGTCATCAAATTGAAAGCCTAAGGGAGGAATACAAAAACAACCGATTTCGCATCAAGCAAAGTGCTGACCTTCTCATCAGAATGCAGGTACCTACCATTCCGATAAATTATTACTTACTTCTCAATTACATGTATCTTAATTCTTTACATGAAATTTAGGCTATCTTTAAAACAGCTTATAAACAATTTGTTACTACTTATCTTATTCTATACGTGTTCCTAAGAATAATTGGACAAATTTATAAAATATCTTATAAATAATATATAAGATATTTTAATTTTATTTTAATAAGTTGTCCAATATAGTTTATTACTAAATTTATGTGAAAACTTATTGAGAAATACTTAAGTTAAAGCTTGTCACTGATAAAATATAGTTTTTATTTTTTTACTAAAAATTAGTTCTTATATTTTTTTATTACTCTTTCCAAAAATTTTCGTTTCTCTCTTTAAATTTTGTTTTCTCTTCTTAAAATCTATATTCCCCTAAAATATAAAAAGATTTGCAACTTTTTTTTTCCTCTAAATTATGGAATATTTGAAATAATTTTCTTGTTATATTTATACAGTAATTTTTTAATCATGATTTTATAAAATATATAAAATTGATTTTTAATTTTAAAATTTTTTTATTCTTAATTTTTAATCATATTTATATATAATTGATTTATCTTATTTATTAATTATTTATTTTTTATAAAATAAAATTGGGTGAATGATGAGTAATAATTTTTTTTAATAATTTTTAATATTATAGTGATGTATAATATCATTTTTAAAAATTATTTAATTACTTTTTATATTTTTATTTGACTTAAATATGATTTTATTCAATGTAAAATTAAAGAGTTTTGATTTCAATTTTATGTATATTTTTCTTTAATTTTCATATATATATATATATATATATATATATATATATTAAGGTCACTATTTTTGGTCTCCAACGATTATTTTAAGTACGTGAATAACATTTATTTTAATGATCTTTACAAAACTTTAAAAATATCAAACAGTAATATCATATTACTAACAATCGTATGTAACACTTAAAATTTTTGCTTGATAAATAAAAATGATTAAAATAATTACACAAAAATTAGAGACTAAAACCAATAATTTTAATTTTAGAGGGATATGTATTTTTTTTATTACAAAAACTAAAGTCAAAAGAAGCTAATTGTATACAATCTAAAAACATTTTTAAGTACTTTATTTTACTTTTAGTCAAAATTTAATTTATAATAATTTTAATTTTTAAAATGAGATAATATGTTATAAGTACTTAAATATGATACATCCAAACAATTTTAAATTATATAAATGTTTGTTAATGTATATATTTAAATGTAACAATTTATTGAATTTTAAGCATTTTTATAACTTAAATTTTTATTGTATAAGAATTTATTAAATAAGATTTTAAATGATTTGTGTATAATAAAGAGATCTATTACGGACGAACGTGTCTTGAAAGTGAACATTTCTCTCAATTACTCTTTCATATATATAATAACTAATAAAACTCTTTATTATAAAATTGTAAGTTTTTAAAGAGGAGAAACGAGTGCGTTTAATTATATTGCCACATATAGCATGACTTTAAAGATGTTTTCTGATGCACAAAAAAAATAGCACAACTTTAAAGAGATAAACCAACCCACAGACCCAACACGTGTATATGTACTACTATATGTCATGAAATTAAAGTTATATATTGCTTTAAAATTAAGATGAAATTAAATCCTCGGAGTATCTCACTCTTAAATTCGATAGCTCGTTTGTTTGATTTGCACACGTGGTCATTTCTCAAATTTTAAACGTGTTTATTGAGTAACGACTTTCTGTTTTGAGTACGGGTGATAACTAAGTTGACTCGTATTTGATAATTATTTGTCAGCTGAGAAATGAAAGCACGTGTGGGCGCAATATTCCAGCAAGAGTGAACGTGAGAGACACAGAGCACGTGACGGAGAAAGCAGTGATTGCCACACTGAAAAGGGCCATAAGCTTTTATTCCTCTATTCAGGCCCACGATGGCCACTGGCCAGCTGAATCTGCTGGTCCTTTGTTTTTTCTTCAACCTTTGGTCACCACTTACACCTTTTCTTTTCTCTTTATTACAACCCCTTGCATTAGTATTTATTATTTCGTTTTTCTTTTCCTTCTGAATTAGTATTAGTACCACTAAAGTTGATTCATGTTGTCTATTATATAACCATCAAACTTACCTTATTAAACTCGTAAGTTTGGTCGTCAATAGAAGCTTATACGCTTCCTATACACATCGTATATTCATATTATACCATGTATGTACGTATGCAGGTTATGGCACTCTATATTACAGGCTCCCTCAATGCTGTTTTAGGACCAGAACACCAGAAGGAAATTATTCGTTATTTGTATAATCATCAGGTATATTTATCATGGTACTAAAGTAGTACTCCCTCGGTTTTTTTTTTCTTTTTCTTTGACATTTAAGATTTATATAAAAAAATAAGAAAATAATTCATATTTTAATTTTTAAAATATTTATCATTTATTTTTTTTTATACCCTTTACGTGATTGAAAAAGAAATAGATATATTAGAAATGAATAAAAATATTAATCAGTAAACACATATTTATTATTAAGAATAAAAATTAAAAAAAATTAATAAGTCATTAATTTTTAAAAAATAATAATAATAAAATTTATAAAAAAAGTCACGATTATAAACAAAAAAAAAAAATAGAAGGAACATGTAGTGGAAATTAATATATAGTAACTCGGGCTTCAACAAACTAAACAAAAAGTAAGACTTATGGACGTAATTTTGTGTCAACTGAATTACCTATGGCTCTTGTGACACGAGACAGAACGAAGATGGAGGTTGGGGATTGCATGTAGAGGGTCACAGCACAATGTTTGGTTCAGCGTTGAGCTACATTGCCTTGAGAATTCTTGGAGAAGGGCGTGAAGATGGTGAAGACAGGGCAATGGCTAGAGCCAGAAAATGGATCCTCGACCATGGTGGTTTAGAAGCTATTCCATCATGGGGAAAGTTCTGGGTCACGGTAACTAAATATATATATCATTTCTCATTTCTCTAGTTTGTGAGCCAATTTCACTCGCTAGGGGTCGTATAACTTCAAATAAAAATGTTGTCAAAAAACTCCGAAAATGATTGGTGCAATTTTCTTATACACATAAAATGATTTTTATAATTTTCTATTTGCATCGGTCATTATACAATTTAACTATTAAGATTAGTTTAGTGGTAAGAGTTAAGATAATATAATATGCAACAAGGATCTAGATTTAATTCTTGTTGCTGTTATTGTAATTCTTTTTATTTAAAAAAAAAAATCAATTTACAGGTCCTTGGAGTTTATAAGTGGTCAGGCTGCAACCCACTTCCACCAGAAATATGGCTTATGCCCGAATGCACTCCTATTCATCCAGGTTTACATTGCCTCCTAATCATAATTAAATTGGGGAGGGAAAGGGGAATAGAATATACTTCTTTTCTATTTTCAACTATTTGCTTGTGTATGTATCTATTGAAGTCCTTTGTTTGTTGCATAATATATTGTACAGGAAAAATGTTATGCTACTGTCGCTTAGTCTACATGCCCATGTCATATTTATATGGGAAGAGGTTCGTGGGTCCTATTACAGGCTTAATCATGTCATTAAGAAAAGAAATGTATAACCAGCCTTATGATCAAATCAATTGGAATGATGCTCGAACCAGAGTTGCCAAGGTTTTGTTACCCATGTCAAAATATCTAGTGTTGTTCTCTTATTAAAATTGTTGTTTTATCTGAGTAATTTGATTACTTTCAATGCATATCTTTGTTAAACTAAAATTGTGATGAGAGAGTAGCATCAAAATTTATCAAGAAATTGTATCTAAATTTTATCCCTTTAATAGTACTTCGGGTAAATTTATTGACTTGTTAGGTGAAGGAAACTATTTGATGTTCTTGTGTATTAAACTCGACCAATATGCGATTTCAGGAGGATCTGTACTACCCACATCCTCAAATTCAAGATATGTTATGGGCATCTCTTCATCACGTAGCAGAGCCTCTTCTGAACAGCTGGCCATTTTCCATGCTGAGAGAGAAGGCACTAGAGGTCGTAATTAATCATATACGTTATGAGGATGAGAATAGTAGATACCTTTGCATTGGTAGTGTGGAAAAGGTAAATATGGCTAGCTTAACCATTAAAAGGAATACTAGTAACACATTTTTTTGTTACATTCCTCTTAACATACTCTAATTGGTTAAAATTTGTTGAAAATTACAAAATCAAGAGAAAGAATCATTAAATAGGACGTGAAATCCACCAAAACTTATATTTTTCCATAAAAAAGATCACTTAAAAGAGTGTGTTTAGAAAATATATCGCTAACATTTCTGACTATTAAATAAAAGTATAATCACCATTTAGAGGTTGATTACTAAATGAAGTTACTCACATATCAGGTGTTATGTTTGCTTGCACGTTGGGTCGAAGATCCAAACTCAGAGGCATACAAACTTCATTTAGCTAGAATCCCTGATTACTTCTGGCTTGCGGAAGATGGCTTGAAAATCCAGGTTGGTATCACCTTCTAAATTTCAATCACTTGAGGCTAGAACGAAGTAGTAGCACATGGGACCATCAAGATGTGGCATGGTTGAGAAATAATCTTATTCCTTAAGTATGTGGTTAGCGATTCGATCCATGATCCGTGTGTATAAAAAAAATCTTTTGGAGGCAATCAAATCCCTTAAACAGTCACCAAAATCTTTATCAATAGGTTATGAAGGAACCACTCAATTGTATATGAATCCTTGACATTTATATATCCTTCAACATATTCATCTCGGATCACATGAGTGAACTTCACACTAAATTCAATAAAATATCTTAAGGAATTAGGTATATGGTGCTTGATGTTTATAGTCCTTGACAACCACAAAATAACAAATTGGAATATGCACCAACTGCTTGTATTAATTCACTAAAATAAATTGCAGAGTTTTGGCTCTCAACTCTGGGATGCTGCATTAGCCATACAAGCAATCCTTTCATGTGACTTGAGTGAAGAGTATGGACCTACACTCCGGAAAGCACATCAATTCGTGAAGGCTTCCCAGGTTATACTTAATTACATATTACATAGACGTGAAAAACCCTTAGAACGAGGACCATAATGAGAGAGTTGACACCATTTTTTTTTCTTTATTGAAGGTACGGGAAAATCCATCAGGTAACTTCAAAGCAATGCATCGACACATATCCAAAGGATCATGGACATTCTCAATGCAGGATCAGGGTTGGCAAGTCTCTGACTGCACAGCAGAAGGATTAAAGGTTTATACATATTATATCCATTAGTTTAGCGAACAAAACTCATATGCAATACATGTTTTTTAATCAGAATTGAAATTATACTTTATTAATATACATTGACATTTAATATAATCCTAATTATTAATACTACTAAGGTGAAACTTGAATTCTGATTGAAATCTGAAATCAATAACCTATAATAGTATTTCATGCGTGTTTTATTTGATTTGGTGTTTGTTTAATCCAACTTTTAAAAAATTAAAAAAAAATGCTTATTTTTCAAAAGCTATTGGATAAGCAGACTAAAATAATCCTAAAATTAATCCAAACTAAACATGCACTTCAATTCTCGAGAGAGTAGAATTTGACTACTGCACGTACATTTCTCTACAGGCTGCACTTCTATTGTCACAAATGTCTCCTGACCTAATAGGCGAGAGAATGGAAGATGAGCGGTTCTATGAAGCTGTTGATATCATTTTATCTCTTCAGGTGTGCTTTTCTCTAATTAGAATGTTCCATTCAATTTCTATCAGTAACTTTGAGTATGCAATTTATTAACTAGATGTAACACCTGAAACATATTTGGTTCAACGACAGAGCAACAACGGTGGTTTCCCTGCTTGGGAGCCTCAAAGAGCATATCGTTGGTTAGAGGTATGAAAATATGTGTTTTCCTATTTCATGAAACGAAATATTTCATAACACTGTTTTGACTGAGAGATAAGATATCAGATAAGTGATAACTCGTGTCTACTTGTGCAGAAATTCAATCCAACGGAAATCTTTGAAGACACCCTCATTGAGATGGAGTAAGATTACAGCGGCAAATTGAACATATTTTTGATGCACTATATACACCAATTCTTGTTCTCACTCTCTGAAATGTGGTGAAATAGGTATGTGGAATGCACATCATCGGCATTGCAGGCCCTGGCTCTCTTTAGAAAGTTATATCCAAACCACAGAAGAAAGGATGTTGAAAAATGCATTTCTAAAGCAATCCGTTACATTGAAAAAACTCAAAATCACGATGGATCATGGTATTTTTTTTTATTATTATTTTTATATGGGTAATTGTATATTTAGGAAATGTTTGGTTCAAAGGACAAGGTTCAGTTCATTTACGTTAGCTAAACACTTGCACTTTTCAGGTTTGGTTGTTGGGGAATTTGCTGTACCTATGGCACTTGGTTTTCTGTAAAGGGGTTAACAGACTGTGGAAAAAACTACCATAACAGTCCTGCCTTGCGTAAAGCTTGCGATTTTTTGTTGTCAAAACAACTTCCTAATGGAGGATGGGGTGAGAGTTACTTGTCAAGCCAAAACAAGGTACTTAATTGCTTTAAACAACACACTAAACTTTGAAGAAAGAGGAAAATATTAATAAATTTCTATCTACACATAAATATACTTGGATACTTACTTTGACAAACAGGTATATACAAATCTGGAAGGCAACAGGGCAAACTTAGTTCAAACTTCATGGGCTTTGATGTCCCTTATTGATGCAGGGCAGGTTAGTAAACAATAATCTTCGTATTTTAGCACTAATTTTGCATACGAGTTTAATTGTAACTCACGTTCTACACTGTCAATTAATTAAAAGTTAAAGTATTTATTATAAAAACTAATAAACTTACTACAAGTAGAGTTATAAGTGATTGGATGAGATTAAAAAAAATTGCACTGTCCGTATACTCTTTAATTAAATTCATTTGTATTATCTTACATGACAATATAATTTCTTCATGAACAAAAGTGTAATTATAGGAGGAAAGGAAAACATATTATATAACACTATACACAACAGAATGGAAGTGTAGTAAGATAGTTAGAAACTAGAATGAGAGAATAAAGTTTCCTCGCAAATGTAGTATGTTATTGTGCTAAAAATGATTTTTTTTTCCAAACAAAAAGGTTGAGATAGATCGAACACCCGTAGAGCGCGGAATAAGGTTATTAATCAATTCACAAATGGAAGATGGAGACTTCCCGCAACAGGTAACTCTCATCTTATGTGATGTCAAATGAAGTGAACCCATGTTAATTATTAACATGTATTTATGTTTTTCTCATGAATATATTATTCACTACCATATACAGGAAATCACTGGAGTATTTATGAGGAATTGCACCCTGAATTACTCTTCATATCGAAACATTTTTCCCATATGGGCTTTAGGAGAGTATCGTCGTCGTGTATTTACGCATAAAGATCAAATGCTTAGCTCCACCTAACTCCAACTCATTTTATTGGCTTGTTGCCTCGATGCACCACTAGAGCATATGAGAGCCGATTATAGATCGTATAAAAATAAAATATTATTTTAGTATTTTGAATTCTTTAAAATTAGAGACAGTTGTTTATATAAATAATCATTTTCTATAGGTTATGTAAAACTTGGGTATATGTAAAAGAAAAAAAAATGAGATGTTGAAGAGAGAGAAAATATATTAGTAGACTAATCATTTCCGTGTTAAATATAATTGATTTTATTTCATAAGTGGTTAAAAATAAATGTATCTTATTATATATGATTATCGATATATAGTTAATAGTAAAGTTGTAACGACTTAATAAGTTCTTTTACAGCTTAACAACTATAGTAGTAGAAAACATGAATTTAACTATCTAGGGTTAACATGCAATCAATACTTCGATATATATGTAAGGATATATACATGTGTAAAAATTTCATCAACAACTGAGATAATAAAATAAATTTCTCAGTGAGCTTGCAACTATAATTATACAACCACACACGTACATACATATATATACATTAATCCAATATTGAAAATATAAACCTAAGTTATCAGTCAAGTAACACTATAAAATAATTATTTAGGGTAACATCAAAAGAATTCAACCATCCTTCAACATGACTCTCAATAATACTCTTCCTTTGATCTATCTTTACCATGATTTCATATCAAATATGATTATCATAGTCCAACAACAAGAAAATATGTAAGGGTAAGTTTATGAAAAAATTCGTAAGAAGTGTAGAAGTAAAATGCACTACACTATCAACATCAACTTATAACACAACATACAACAAATCAACATGTCAGTTTCATCTATGAAAGTTACAACTATTCAATACAACAATTAATCAACAATATAGTTCACAACACAACAAATTAGACAACATTTCCACATATTAACTTCATAACTCATCAACACAATGTGTCATCACTCATTTCAACTAAAAGGTCTTTTACAACACAGTTGAACAGTCTAAGTGGTTTGACTCTACTAAATCAACTTAAGAATACAATCTTTTTGGGCTTAAACTCAAATTTCACCACTTAAACTAGAAAAATTTAGTATTCTTATCAAGGTTAGAACAACTTGAGTTGAGTTTATCATGACTTTATCATGCATAACTAAGTCTATTATGAATTTAGCATATCGACTACCCTTCAAATATTGTACCATTTTTAGTACTTAGTTAGAAATTTTGACCCTCAACCTTGTATTTTACTCAATTTTGTCAATTTATACGCGTATGACTTGACTTTGCTCCTATACAAATCTACATTGGTCGCTTTATACACGAATGACTCGACATAACCCCATACGACATCGACTAGAGTCATAGAGAAGACTCAACATTTCACATCAAAAGTTAACTTCTCAAAAAGGATTTTTAACAACTAGGTTCGTTAAGCATCACAACACCATATCCTTACAAATACAATTATATATGATATCAAATAAATATTTGTAATTTCAATCAATAAATGAGTTCTCAATTACACATACCCAATGTCATATATCATATACAACATTGGTTTATATGTAATTTATTATAAAAAAAATTATAACATTATATACAAATTTGTTATCACGCTATCTATTACATAGGTTGCAACAAAATTGATAAAGAGCTTGACATTGTAAGTTATTTTTACATAATGTTAATAGACCTATTTCACCCAAAATGAGAATAAACTAAACTTATGAACTTATAATCTAAAATTCAATAATCAAATTATTTCTATAATCATAAGTTTATTCCATATCACACCCAACCTATATAAAAGTGTTATTGCACTTGTTGATTTATAAGAGTGTATTTAACAAATCACTTTAACTTATAAGTTAATTTAGCTAACTTATAAAATATTTTGATTAAAATTAACTTGTTTATTTTAATAATTTCTAACTTAATTTTAAAAGTCACTTTAAATAGTTTATGGTGTATAAGTTATTAATTTCGTTTACCATTTTTGTTCACTAGTTGAGTTATTAATTTCGTTGAATAAAAAAATTAGTGTGTAAGGTTTTTCTTTTCATTTTTATTCTTATTATTTTACTTAAAATCTCTCATATTTTCGTAGGTCTTAATTATTTATCACTTTTTTAATTTCACTTTTGGATTTAAAGTATTATTATAAATTTTATTAAAGTTTTTATATAAATTATTACTTCTCTCAGTAGTATATAAAATTAAGGGTGACAAAATGGATCATAGTCTAACCTATTAGTTTGTCGAGTCAAATGGTGAGCCAGAATTTCTAACTTGTTTTTGTCTGATGGACCAATGATAGGTTGAACCTAAATAAACCAGATTAATACATTTTGTTATTCTTACATAAAATATTTTTTTTAAGAGAAGTAATACATAATTCATTAGAGTAAACTCTTAATTTTTTTTTTTGTGTAATTATAATATTGATATGAATTATTTATTGTCATATCTCAAAAATTATGAATATACATAAAATGAATATTTTTCTTTTAATATAATTTGTTTCGTTCTTAAGACAAAAATTAAATTCTAAACAACTTAGTTGAAGTTTAAAGTTATTTATCACTCTTTTATCCTATATATTTAAAAAAATTACTGGCATAATTTTAAGATGATAAATTATTGAAAACCATTAATAGTATAATATTTTTGAAATCCATCATAATTAAGACACTAGGGCAAACAAGCATATTTGTTAAATATAAAAGGGTTGGAATAACGGAAATGGCAAAGGTGAAAATAGTGAAGAAGTGGAGGGTATTCTCTTGAACAGAGACGGGACAAAAACGAAAGAAGATTGGGAGCCCTTAGTTTGGCGCTTTCTGCGGCCATCGGTGAACCCAACGCCATTCAACTTTGAATCATTCTTCACTCCTTTCAGTCAAACCCTTTCTCTCTCTCTTTCTCTCTTCAAATTCAGTTTCCATTTCCAATTCCTCTGGAGTTGGTTCATTTTCAGACGAACCATCTCTAAATCCGTCAATTCATATAACTCTACGCCAATGCGCTTGTAAACGTGAATGCGAACGTGAATGTGAACGCGGTTTCGTTTCAGATCCAGATTCATGGGGATGTGCTTCAGCATTGAAGATGAAAAGCGCCTTTCCGTCTCCGATACGAGCGCCAAGCCTAAACCTGCTGGTAACTTCGATTTCCGTTTCGATCCGATACGATATGGATTCTTTTGTATTAATCGATTCACGTTGATCGGCGTGTGAAATAGGATCTGCAGATCGTGAATCTGGCGCTCCATTGGTGTCGAGTTCGATGAACATCAAAGATCTCCGCAAAAGCGCTGGACACTGCAATGTGGATATTTTCACGTACGAGGAGCTGAGGCTCGCGACGAAGCACTTTCGTCCCGATTTCATTTTAGGAGAGGGAGGATTTGGAGTTGTATATAAAGGAGTCATAGACGATAGCGTAAGGTCAGGTTACAAGACCATCGAGGTCGCCATTAAGGAGCTTAATCGCGAAGGATTTCAGGGCGATAGGGAATGGCTCGTACGTAAACTTACTTTTCCTATTTATGCTTTGACATTGAATTGTTTTTTCTGAGTTATTCCTTTAAATGTAGTAATAATCTAAACGTGTTGCATAAGGCAAATATTGTATAACTGTTCGGTTTTCCACTAGGATTTAATTTCTGTGCATTATATGTTAAAAATGTTGTAATCCCTTAACTAATCAAAAATCAAGATAGAAATGACTTTTAAGGTAGTAATTTTAAGAGTAAACAAAGTTACATAATACCTACCATGTATGACAATTTTTGGTTGTATGATAGTGTTTCTTTACATTGTCGTTATATAGACAAATTATACTTTCAGCTGTTGCAGAAAATGAGTGGTGTAAGTAAATAGGGTTTGTAGTTGAGGGACTTGAGAAGAAAAAATGATGAACTGTTTGTTGCCAAGCATCCTCGTGGTTCAATTTGATTTTATGTTTGAACGATGAGAATTGATATTTAGAGTGAATGAAAGGGGATTTATGGAAGGAAGTAAAGAGTTGACAGGACCAAACTTAGTTGCATGGTTTTGTTTACTTTGCAGGCGGAAGTTAGCTATTTAGGTCAATTCAGTCACCCCAATCTGGTGAAGCTCATTGGATATTGCTGTGAGGACGAGCACCGGTTGTTGGTCTATGAATACATGGCAAGTGGGAGCTTGGAGAAGCATCTTTTTCGCAGTAAGCTTTGCATGAAATTTGCTAATGCATCTGATTTTTTAAATTGGACTAAGGTTATATATACTGAGATCAGATTATTCATGATCTGTAATTGGATTAGTACCAGGGAGGTTGTGCTTTATCATGTTATTGGCGAAGGCTCACATATTTTTCTCTTTATATAAAAGACTAGCTTAATTATGTTAACACCTAGTGGATTGGAGGGGAAGCCTTCTTTGAGCTTCAAAACTGTGTTGGTCACCTTCCAGTCCCCTCCTCTCCTTTTATGTATGTGGGTGTTTATTCATTATGTAGTTTTCTTGGGGGCAGCAAAGGTCCCAAGAATTTTAACACCTTTAATATATTACTAACATTTAACCTTGTCCATGATTTTGGAGTGCTTTCCTTTTGCATATATCTTCTATATGGCTCATAGCATGATGAGTTAGTTATATGGCCAAACAAGATGTTGGAAAAACTGATCCAGTTGTAAATGTCCTCTTTGAAATATAATCAAATAAAGCTCCCAGTCTTGTCATCAATTCATGTAATGAGTGTCTATCCCATCTTTTGTCACAGCTTGCTTTTGACATGGAAGTCTTGAATAAACTCATGATTCTTATCATTCAATTCTTTGATCCTTAAGTGCATTTCCTAGATCAATGTAAACCAAAAACTAAAAGAAAAAAGTGGTTAGGAAACGGCCTCTACTTTACAATCCTAACCATCACACTGTTTCTTGATGCTAGGAGTGGGCTCAACGTTGACTTGGTCCAAACGAATGAAAATTGCTTTACATGCTGCAAGAGGGCTTGCTTTTCTTCATGGTGCAGAAAGGCCTATCATATATCGTGACTTCAAGACTTCAAATATCTTAATAGATGCGGTTTGTTCCCTTCTAGACTTCTAGTTTATTTATATATAACGTATATAAAGATTGTTATCTTGTTTTTCAATTTGTTTCCTATTTTCGAAGATTTGTACAGAAACACTGAAAACAACTTTATTTTCCCCTCTGTTTCCTGTACAAATGAATGAAAGCACGTAATAGATTGAAAAAAGATGGCAAGTTTTTAATTAAAAAGTGAAAATAGAAAATTAAAATAGGAAATGAAAACCCAAGTAAACGGGGCCTTAAGTTTTTGTAGCCAACATTTTACTAGGAGCTGACATTTGTAGTAGTATTCTCAAAAGTAGTTTCTTCTTTTTAACATCATTAGATATTTTTCTGCTTTTACAAAATTTGAAAGGAAAAAACTATTTTCATCTTCCATAAGTATCTTTCCTAAATCCTAATTATCAACCCTGTATTACTTGAGAATTGAATTTTAAAAAGACCTGGTATAAAAATTTATATTATCTTCTTTATGGTGATCAGCTAATGGTTTCTTCAGAAGGCTTTTAAAACCGGATGTAATTTCTGAAAATGTTGTATGCCACCATAAAACAAGTGAATTTTGTCTAGGTTTCTACTATTTAATATTCAGTATAAACCTGCAGGATTTCAATGCGAAGCTTTCAGATTTTGGCCTTGCAAAGGATGGGCCGATGGGGGACCAAACCCATGTCTCAACACGAGTAATGGGCACATATGGATATGCTGCTCCTGAGTATGTCATGACCGGTGAGTTACTTGAAGCTATTTATAGTGAATTTTGTCATTTCATTTTTCTAAATTCTCTGAAATATCATGAATTCACAAGTGATAAAAAAAATGCAATCTCATTTTTTATGTAATGTACTCAATTGTTAGTTGTCATAAACAACTGTTATAAAGACATGCCTGAGCCTTCACTGCACGTTGTTGGAAACGAAAGTCTGCATGCATTGATTGACAAATTGAAGCCTCTAAATTTATCTGTCATTGGTATTATAAGGTCTAAGGAAGAAATTATGTGAATTCCTATATTCTAGATTTCTGTCCGTGGTTGGAGTTTTGTGACATTAAAAATTTAGAATTGTCTCTCTTCCTGTGGGATTATGACTGGGTACATCCCTTCTCAGCCCCTAATATGTTAAGAGGCTATGTGCTTTGTGCACTTGACTGTCCTTTTTTTGTTTCTAACTTTCAGTTTGTATAAACATTGACTATTTATGGTGTGGGAAACCATTTTTTTTTCTTGTTAACAGTCCTTTAAATCTTAAACTGATGATCGAGCCACTATTTTAGTATGTGCTGCCTCCTATATCATAGATGAGTATGTATGAGATTACATCTTGGAACTAACCTGTTTGTCATCATGAACAGGGCATTTGACAGCTCGAAGTGATGTTTACGGTTTTGGGGTGGTGCTACTTGAAATGCTTATTGGTAGGAGAGCATTAGACAAGAGCAGGCCCAGCCGAGAGCACAACTTGGTTGAGTGGGCCCGCCCTCTATTAAATCATAATAAGAAACTTCTGAAAATTTTAGACCCAAAACTAGAGGGGCAATATTCAAGTAAAACTGCAATAAAGGTGGCCCAGTTAGCCTACCAATGCCTTAGCCAAAACCCGAAAGGCAGACCGCTAATGAGCCAGGTTGTTGAAATTCTCGAAAACTTTCAGTCAAAGGGGGAAAATGGCGAAGATGAAATTCTTCAGAATGGCGGTACCAGTATAACCCTTTATGAGGTTCCCAAGGGCAGCAATGACCCTCCATCTTAGGGCTAAAACTGACGAGGTTTACAGGAGCGAAGCTTGATGGGAAAAAAAAGCTGAAGCCAGCCTTTAGATGTCTATAATTTATGTTGTTCCTTCACCCAAGTTTGTGCTCTCGACAGATAAGTCGTCTTCTTCCAGAAGTAGAAGTCTCACCAATGTGGATGGCAATTAAAATTTGTACAAAATGCTAGCAGGTAGTTCCGGTTGGTGTTTCCAGATGTTTGTTTGCTTTGAGCAGAATTGGCGAAGGCAATTATGTGGCTTAAGCATTCATTCTCCTATGTTGTATTTTATTCCAATTTTGAGTGATCAGGACGCTATTTATTGGAATGTTTAACAGAATTATTGTAAAACATTTTTTTAATTACTTTCTGCGCCCGAAATGCACTAGTTAAGCATCTGGTGCGTCAAATCAATGGTGGGGATGTGATTTTAAGCTTTGAATTTAAGAAATACCTTAGATTCAAGCTCAATCTCATCTATTGCCACCTGTGATCAATATAGTTACGATGGATTTTATGAAATTTCTGAGATGAGTTGAGGTTATTATGTACAAATATCGCTACATATTATTTCTTTTCCAAAATCTATATAACAATTGAAACCTGTATTACTGCTATGAAAAATTGCTACACGCTCTCATTGATTTCCTGGCAACTGCTGGTATTTGTGGATGCATTGGTCGCTTCTGTTTATGATGGTGCTGGCGGTTGCATTAAAAGGCTTCAATCATCAGTAAGGAATGTGCACTTTTTTAACTGGCTGCACGGATTAATGCTTTTAAGTTGAAAGTGATTCTTGTCCTTGATCCCTACCCTCGGCAACCTTCAAGACTCTAAGGAGCATAAGACATTGATTAAGCGTAAATGTATTCGAGTCATTTTTAAGCATAGTGATAATCGACTATGATTAATCTGCTTTCATGGCTTTCGGTAAATTTTTCGATTGCGGAAACCAATTAAAGTGCTGGGTTATGCCGTTTTGTTACCGTTAGAAATTCGATTTTTACATTTTTAACGATAACACGTTTCAGCACATCTGGCAACCTTTTCAAAATCAATTATAGCTCGTTTGTAACAATATTTCATAGAAAACCTATTTTAAAAAATATATATATAATTAGTTTTAAAAAATCATATATTTGCTTCAACTTTTTAAAATAATCAGAATCAAAAAATCTAAAATCTAATAAAATTCACAAACAATTTTAAACGATTACTCATAAAACTACCTACTTATAAAAAAATAATTTGATAATTCAAAACAAATAATTAGTTTCTGCTTTTAAAATCTCTAAAAAAATCATTAAATTATTTTTCATCAGAATCAGTTCTTTTTAATCTGTAACTAACCCTATATTTAACTCTACACTAAACCGAACATTCACTTGCCCTGCCACGTTAACTAAAGAATAAAATACTAACTACTTCGTTGCTTAAGACCGATTTAGATGTAACGAAAGAAAAAAATTGATGAAAAAAAATGTAACGAAAACATTTTTCCAAGTTTATACACCAAAATGCACCATCAAACTAATTATGCTACTCGACGATGGACCCAGAGCAATAACCTTGTGAGAAGCATTGGTCATTATACAAGTTATAAATTATTAAAAAAAACATTTTCCATTTACAAACAAGAAAATTGAAGAAACGGATACGGATGGCTTGGACTTCATTGGTCAATAAATCACTATATAGCTTGATGGTGCATATTAATTAAAAGATCTCAAATGAATTTTGTACCTTTTTCTCACTGTATTTTTAAATTTCTTTTTTCGAGCAGAAAATGTCAGGGAAAGAAAAAAACATGATGTTTCTTGTATCTATAGAAAAAGAACGATGCTAAAAGAGCCACGCTACTGTGATTCATCCATTGGGTCCTGATGGTTACAAGATTGAGATCTTACATCCTGATCATCTTGCCTGGCCTCTTCAGAATCTACCGTCTTGGAAACAGAATCCTCAAGAGCCTCAAGAAAAGACAAAACTGTGAACTTGTCTGCCAAGAAAGGAGAGAAAAAAAAAAATCAGCAATGTTGAATTATCAAACCAATAATCCGATAATAGTTTCTAACAACACTTCTCATTTTTGTTTCCTTTCCAAAAACACATGATATTTAAATACCGATTTAAAAATAGTGAACATGCAACATGTTTGAACCCTAAAAAGACGTGGAAGTTTGAAAGAAAATGCTGCAAGACAATCTGAGTTGTGTTCAATGACAATTCCATTTTCCACTTATACCAGCCACTCCAAAGTTAAAGAAAGTTTATGATACTGAAACCCCTACCATACCAAATAGAAAAAGGGAATAAACGAGGAAAATGGCATGTCCATAGAGAGATTAGAGAAGAAACAACTACTGTGGGCATTAGAAACTCTAGTATAGAACTCAATAATGCATATGCTATGCTAAAGACTAAGAAAGCACTACTCACATTTACTTGGATCAATTCCAAACTGAGACAAGTCAATCTGTCCCGTTCGAAGTACCTATAACAATAAATAAATAATAACACATTTATTAAGTATATTTTGAAAGAAATGTAAAATAAGAGAAGTGAGGCACAGCATTCCCACATAAGTAAATGAATCTACTTGCTGACGGAAAGGTGGGCTCTGCAACAACTCCAATATTTCTTCTGGAGTCCACTTACCCTACATCAAAGAATATCATTGATGAATCCGTAAATGAAGGAATACTGAAACTCAATCACCGCATTGACATATACCTCGGGTAAGTAGGGAGCTAAACGCTGCTCCAAAGGTAATGTCTCCATCAATGGCATTATTAGATCAGGCTTGAATATATCCCCAAGTCCCAAGCCTAATGAAATATAATAAATTTGTCAAAGCAGATTTAAATTTTAAGAATATTCTGATTAGTTGATATATTTTCCCTCTCATCATCATTGTGAAAAATGTGCTTCAGTATGGGCTATTATAAAGTCTCTGGTTTGAACTTTGAATGTAATAGCATGCAATATTATCTGGTAACACATTTATTAATTTATTCATAGACAACAAGGAATAGAATAGTATCAAATGATTACCTCCATCAGGATCCACAATATTATCTGCAAACTCGTCAGAAAAACAAGAAGTTAGGTCTCTATAAAAAAAAAACACAAGATATCACTTTCAATTTCACTTATTACCTGCAGGCCCAATGTTGCTCAGTATTCTTTGGAGATCTGCCAATTTAACCGGACCAGAAGACGTTACATCACTAGTTGCTTCCACACCCAAGTTTGGGACACCTAAGTTTGCAGCTCTTATATACAACAAAATCCAATAAATTCAGTGTTCAGTTAGCTATATATAAGAGTAAGCAATAAGAAGGGTTGGATAGATACCCTTTGATAACTAAACTATCACCAGATCACAGCTTTAGCTTCACTTTTGTTCAATTTGTCTACCGAATAAAAAATAGTCGAGATTTCAACAACTTCATAGTTTGTTATACACATGTTTGTATTTTATCACAATCCTAACCATTGATTTTTCCAATCAATGGTTATAACTCTACATTTTACCCTATAAATAAATAAAATGCACTCTTCATTTTAGAGGAACCAAATCTCAAAGGAATAACCTTAAATAACCTAAAAATAACATCATTTCATGTTCAAGAAATAAAAATTTGAAGATATTTAGCAGTGAGATAAAAAAATGAAGCCATGCATCATTTGGTACTCACTACTTTGACTGGCTGATATGAGAAAATTTGCTAATGAAAATAATTTGGTAGTTTAAAACATGACAGTCAGGCCTTTACTTTCTTTCTCTTCATTAAAGAACTATTTGCTATAAAAGCAGCTTATATATTGCACCCAAATCAGATCTACTTGTTGGTTCTAAGCTCCAGAGTAATGATGATTTTGTCTTAAACTGATTCATTTAACTTACAGAAGGGCAAGGGTACAAATTCATAGCCAAGGTCCAGTGGTTCACTTTTGAATCAATCAGTCTATCACAAAGGATATAAATCCATCTAAAAGAAACAGTATATTCTGAAATTCTACAGGCATGGAGGTATCTAGCAAATGGGTCAAAAATGGGAAGTAAATAAAATAGACAGTAGAGTGAGAAGATCTGAAGGATTGAATAAACACAGAAAATGCATGAGCATGCACTATTTTCCACTTTTATTGGAACTTAAACATAAATTCAGCTGGTAACCAAAAAATAGTATTTTGTAGCAACAAGTGCTGTTGGAGATCCCCTCCCCCCCCCCCCCCCCCACAAAAAAACATATATTCTTCTTTTCTTAA